TCATATGAGTTTTTTATTGCAATTACCTTGACAATACCTCTTCTATTGCATATTATTCAACCAACGTTATTGTTATTATCATTGTCATCACTATTACTGCTATTATTATTGACGCGATTAACAAGACGAAACTCTCTTACTAAACACTTTACTCACACAATTTATTATATTATTATTATGACTTGACACTTTACTATAAATCATTTTGACCTTTACTAAATGAACTTTCAAATCGGTAAATAACACAGTCTTGAAGTAATTATATCGTAACAGCTGCAAAAGTTCATTTTTTGCTAAATATCAGTCAGCATTTCAATATTTGAGATTATGAGTCAACTGAAGCTAGATCACTATGGAAATCCTGGAAGGACTGGACGGCCGTTTCGTCCTATTGTGGGATTCCTCAGCAGTACTTATGGTTTCTATCTAAACAGTATTAGTCATAATAATTTTGATAAGCAGGAAAGTATTAGGATATTACATATTTTTGAACCACAACTATCAGAAATATTAGGTTAATGAATTCAATTTATATTTACCAACAAATAATTAACCGAAATTGGGGGTTAGAAGAGTTCAACGGCTGTTCCTCTAGGTATTGAGTTGATGAATATGAGCTGAATTTGAAAATTTCTACCTAAATACCAAATGTGCTGGAAGTATTTCGTTTACTTACACCAAATATTCATCAATATTGATCAAACAATGAGAAGAAAAAAATACTATGTTAATTTTTTTCTATCTCTTATATCACCTTGTTTAGTAGAACTTTCATTAAATTGACCTTGATTAATCTTTATATGAAATACTGTGACAAGTATATGTATGGCCAGATTGTTCGAAATGTATAGCGCATTTACATCACATTTTTCAGATCAACTCCGTCTTCTTATTGCTCTATAGAAATCTATACTTACTTAAGCCTGTTACCCCTCTTGGTGGAGCAAAGACTGCCCACCAACACTCTATATCCAGCATTGTCCTGGGTAATCCTTTCCAGTTCATTGCAGTTGCTATTCATCCTTTTCATGTCCTTTTCCAATTCCCGACGAAGTATGTTCTTCGGCCTTTCTCTTTTCCGATTTTCTTCAGGATTACAAGTTAACACTTGCTTCGTGATACAATCTGAAGATTTCCGTGATGAATGTCCTATTTACTTCCAACAACATTTCCTAATGTCTTCCTCAGATGGAAGTTAATCTGTCCTTTCCCACAGTAGTTTTTTGCTGATGGTATCTGGTCAACGGATACTGAGTATCTTCCGTAGACCACTGTTCATAAATACCTGTACTATTTTGATGATGGTTGTAGTACTTCTCTAGGTTTCAGCTCCATACAATAGAACTGTGTTGACGTTCGTGTTGAAGATTCTGACTTTGATGTTGGTTGATCGTTGTTTTGAGTTCCAAATGTTCTTTAAATGTAGGAATGCGGCACTTGCTTTGCCAATCCTCGCCTTCACATCTACATCAGATCCTCCACGTTCATCGATGACTCTGTCTAGATACGTGATATTTTCCTTATCTTCTAGAGTTTCGCCATCAAGTGTGATTGAGTTGGTATTATCCGTGTTGTATTTGAGAACCTTGGTTTTCTCCTAGTCTAAGTTGAGGCCTACTGATGCAGAAGCTGCTGTTACATTAGTTGTCTTCATCTGCATTTGTTCGTGTGTGTACAACAGATCGGCCAGGTCATCTACGAAGTACAAATCATCTAATTGATTCTGAGATGTCCATTCGTGCTTCCCTCAGATATCTAAGTCTTCATGATCCAGTCGACCATCAGAAGAAAAAGGAATGATGAGAGGAAGCAGCCATGTCTGACTCCAGTCCTCTCTTGGAATGCATCTGTCAGCTGTCCTACATGCACCACTTTGCACTGCATTCTGTCGTATGAATTCTGTATGATATCGACAGTTTTCTCAGGTAGTCTATAATGTCGAAACGTTTCCACAATGTTCTTCTATCCACACTGTCGAATGCTTTCTCATAGTCAATGAAGTTTATGTAAAGTGACGAGTCCCATTCAATTAATTGTTTAACGGTGATCCTTAGTGTATCGATTTAGTTTGTGCACGAATCTAGCCTGATAATCTCGAAGTTGGACGTCTACTGAATTGTCGAAACTTATAAAAGGGACTAATTGCTTTAAATTCATGAATATCTTTACATGCACTTATCTAGATTTAAATTGTTTATCAGAACGATATAAGAATGTACATCATTTTAATTACCTTAACCTATCATTATGGTTATCAATGTACATAAAAATTACATTTGCACTCTTCTCAGTTTCAAATCTCATCCATAGGTTATATAAACAATATAAGTAGTATTTCCCAGACTAACAAATTAATTTTTATTGATAATTATCAAACTATTATCTTTAGCAGAATGTTTTATTTGATTTATATATTTGTATTCATAGTTAATGAGAGGTAATAGATAAATAATAAAAATGATAGTTTGCATTGCATAAGTTTACAATGATCTAACTAATAAAATATAAAGTACTTATTTCCCACCACTCCACCCCAAAAAATAAAATAGAATTAAATGTAATTAAAATTTTCATGGCTGACAATAAACTTCCCCTTTTAATAAAACTAACTCATAATTCAGTGAGTAAACTAAATGAACAAATTCCTACAGAAAAAAATCAACTTTGTCACTTTCAGTAAAAAAAAAAGCAAAAAAGAACAAAAAGAGAAAGAAAACTCGGGGATCTTTTTTCTTGTTGAATTAATGCTTTTCATATGATTGATCAAGCGTTTAACATAGTTGATAAATTATTTGTCTACCTTAAATATATACATAACTGTTGCTTACTTATTTAAATGTGTATGAAATTTAAAATGTAATGTTTTATAATAGTATAATTTAAATAATTTAGTCACGCAATGTTTCCCGTAAGATAAATGAGAAGATGGGTTAGGTAAATAATGATTTTGTCTTTTGATAGTTTCATATGTACATATGTACTTTTAGTTCTGTACAGTCACTACAATTGGTTTATTATCCGCGAACTCTGTTATGTCCCAATAAGCATAATGAATGGTAACTTTCGGGATCCATTTATGAACCAACACTATGCGTATATTTTTATCGTGTAATTGTTATGTAACTAAACTGTTCATATTCATGTTCCTCTTATTATGAACTTCATTTTGACCCATAAACTATTATTATACGATTTACCATTCTTGAGCTATGGCCTATTATCAATTACTATCTCCCTCATTCACAGCCACATTAGGCTAATTCTTGTACAAATGTTAATTTCTATTTTATGGTACGTTGTGGTCTGTCTGGTTGATATATAAACCGAGTATGTTTGAAATAAATGATTGATATTGCAGAGGCTGAGATTTGTGTTCTGGACGCAACTGGCTGGGCTAGGCAGGAAGCAGGACTCTAGACTGCTCGTACGTGTTTTATGTGTCATAGGTCCGGTCGAAGATTCACTGCTCTCTAATTGGCGGTATCGTTGCGCTATACAGTAATAGGGCACACAGGTTCAAAAGTTATAACAAACTCATAATTCAGATAGTACTATTACTGAACGTAGACTAAGTACAAATGGAAGACACAAGTTGCTCAAGTATAAAACTGTAAAATTCACGTGAATATATCTATGAAAATTACGAAAAGCTGAACATTTTGAGCGAACAATTGTTTGCAATAATTTCATCATCAGGCTCTACAGTTATAAGTCCACAATTATTGTGATATTTTACAAAGATCAAAATGAATCATGCATCAATAAGTTTCACAACGTTATATGTTAAAAATCTTGAATATTTGCACCTATTTCGACATGAATAATTCAAAATTGTGTTATTTCTAAATTAAAATTTTATATCAGAAGGGGTTTTGTTGATATTTTAGCTATTTAATAATTGAAATCATGAGTCAGTTGAACCTAGATCACCATAGAAAACCTGGAAGCACTGGACAGCCGTTTCCTCCTTTCGTGAGACTTCTCAGCAGTACACATCCACGACCCCGTCCCACGAGATTCACGCACAAGTCCTACCTGTTTCGCGCGCGAACGTTTAACATCAAGACCACTGAGCTGGCGGGCATCCAACGGTGTTAATTTCTAACTTAAACCAATCCACGAAATCGCGCCACCGTCTACCATTGTCTTCAGTGTGTTACTATCTCCAGAGATTACAGATACACCTTGTTGACGAGTGCCGACTAGAACGAATAGTATGATTTCATTTACCGTCACTTGAAATCCGGTAACATGGAAGCATAATGCACACGATATAAAGTTCTTTAGATTAGGGTGGTCTCATTATAATATAGTCGATGACAATGGTCAACCAATATCTCATATTAATTCGACTACATCAAAGAAATACTTCTGTTATTGGTATTTATAAATTATAAGAAAGGTTTTGTGGAGATCGTAGTAATTTAATGGTTGAATTCATGATTCGATTAAGACTAGACCACCATGGAAAACCTGACATCACTGGACGGCCGTTTCGTCACAATATGGCTTCAAGGGGTATTTCCTGGAGTTCTAGTGAGAAGCAAAGACAAGTAGAGTTCAACCGGGTCTGTTATGAGATAGTAACTCACTGAAGACAATGGTGGATGTGTCGCTCAATTTCGTGGATTAGTTAAACATAGACATTATCACCGTTGGATGCCGACCAGCTCAGTGGTCCAGTAGGTTAAGCCTTCACGCGTGAGACTGATAGGTCCTGAGTTTGAATCTCGTGAGTCAGGATGGTGGATGCTCACTGCTGAGGAGTCCCACAATAGGAGGAAACGGCCATCTAGTGCTTCTAGGTTTTCTATGGTGGTCAGTTCATCACGCCTAAACCACGTCCATCCAAAACTATATTCAAATTCAGTAATGCATGCCTTATTTTACCTTTGTTAAATGCCAAAATAATTATGGACTTATAACTGTAGAGCCTGATGATGAAGTTATGGCAAACAATTCTTCGCTTGAATATTCATTTTTTTTATTTTTAGTATTTTATGGCGGTTTTTAAACTGCTATAAACTGAACATTTCATTAACCGGCTTTAAATACATTATATAATACTAAAATAAACACTCAATAATCAAATTATTTAAAAGTCAGTGGCAAAACGTTGAACTGAATTGAAAACGGTTATACTTGCTTATTCAGGTATTCCATAAATTATTCAATGCACTAATGTTACATTCACATTACTAGTGGTTCGGAAATCATGCAAACATGTTAATCAAATTGAAAAGAAATTTAAAACATGAAAAACATTAATTAATCTCATGATTGAGATTTTAATTTAACATTAACAAAGAGCTCCATAGTTTCCACGCATTAAAATAGCCTCAACACCACAAATCCTTGTAATATTAGCGAAAACCACTAGATCAAGTGTTGTGGTCTAGTCTGAAACTCTTCGATTTGTGAATTTATCAGAGGCTGAATATCGAACATTTAGTCGCCATGTTGAACCTGTATTTTTTCAGTCGCTGAACTGAAATCCTTAGGTTTATAAATTCTGTTATATTTTAATTGTGATATAGTTTTGTAATCGACAAATGTCGGTGGTGGATAATCTAATCTTACTCTTGATATGATTAAACTCCACAGATCGTAATCCCAGACTAGAAACTATATAATTCTGTAACGAGATAAGCTATCAGTGAGCACATGCTTTATGTTTACGGATTTGTGTTCTGAAAATTAATTTTCTTGGAATGCCAAATGGCGAATATAATAAATGCACTTCAAACAAAAATAGGATAGTTGTCGATTCATTATTTCTATGTGTAATTTCTCTAGATTACTTCATACATTTTAAACTATTGTTTGTCTGTAGGTGGAAGGCATCGTATACAATCAAATAAATTTCTCATATATGTCTATAGCATAGAAGCTATTTGCAATTTTCTCAATCTATCCACCACTTTCGTTAAGTTCACCAACTTCAACTTACATTAATAACAGCAATTATAAGTAATGCAAATTGTTTGTCAAGTATGGGTGTACATACTTATCTTCAAATTACACCGTTTATACTACGGTAGTGGATTGCGTCCATCTGCTGGATTCTGATAGAAAAAAGTGTTCTAATGTAAATATAATTTCTAAATTCTCTGACTAATACAATTCGGTTCAAATATAAATACATACCAAAGGAAGATATTTCCTACATAGAAGCGAATCTTACCCGGCTTCATAGACTGAACGATTTATACACAATGATACTTCCACATTAATATCTGCTAGCGATTTGAGAGGTGATAATAATGCTTGCTTATCATGTACAGACAAGTAAGTAGTAAACACAGTGGTCACTGTAACTTTAAGGTATGAATGATCACAATATAGTTGATATTCTGGTAATTGATTTGATTCAATCATTTATTAGCACACTTGAAAGAAACTTTCCAATCCTTCTCTCAACAAGCACCACTCAATTATTTCCCCTAATGAATTCGAATAGAGCCAGAACGAACATTGATGCAGTATAATATAAATTCATTATATTTCGCCGTTTCTCATCAACTGCTTGCAACCATATATGTATTGAACGTTAACATTAAGGTAAGATATGATATGAAACAATTAATTAAATTAAGGCAAAGAATTAGAATGACAGGTGTTATATATATAACATGAGGGGTAGGTAAAGTATTAATTAAATGATGTCCGGAGATCGATAAGATAGATAATTTTAAAGGTTATGAAGGGTTTACATAAGATTACTGGAATTAAAAATTGATAAGACGGGTTACGTAATAATCGAACAGGATTTGAAGAGTTTACAAAAGTTAACAGGACTAAGTGAATGAAAACGTACGTGTGAAGGGATAGTGTACATAAAATAAGAATAAGTTAAGGAAAGACAGCTTGAAAAAATGAACACTAATAAAATATTGATACTGACAAAAATAATTCACCAAGGTAGTGGTAAGTTTATTACTATCTCTTTCAAGATACATAAATCAGGTTTAAGTGTTTTTATTGCTCTTGCTCTTTGGCAAACCGAAGAAAGGATGCGTTTTTAATCTAATGTTGATTAGATATCATGAAATATAATGAATTCACATTATTATGTATCAGTATTCGTTCTGTTTTTATTCAAATTCAACAAATATGACCGAAACAAAAGTTTAAATGACCAATATGTATCAGAATCTTATAGAAATTCACAGACATTTTAGTCGAGCTTAGGTTTGCATATCATTACTGAATTTGTTTCACAATTAACAGACATAGCTATGACACTCAAACTAATTGATTTTGAATTCAGGGATCAGTACGATTATCAAGGCTGAATTAGATCATATAGATTTTATGATAATTAATTAGACAGCATCTCAGTGAATTTCACCGGTATGTACTTGTTACTAACTGACATGTAACACAATTTGATTTAAAAACTATGTGAGTAGAATGTAGAAACGTAAAAGTGTTAACTAGCAAGCCGACAAAGTGATGTGTGGGCGAGGATGACAATGATTGGTTATTCGCTTTGTCAGACTAGTAGACAGTTTAACAGGCGTTAGATGAGTTATATATTCTCTTATTATTATTATTATTATTGATTGTGTCGGATTGATATTGATTTTTTGGTGTAACAATATATTTACCTTCTAAACAGGCTAATACCGTGTTATTGATCTGAGTTATATTGAAGTCCTGTAGAACAGACACTGGGAGGGAATCTAATGTAGATATTCGTCTAAGGTAAATTAATGTCTCATTCGTATAGACGAGGAAACTCCGAGCATTATAACAGAAAGAAATTTAATTAAATATTTTAGTGAATGCAAACTGTTGCTTCTATTTAATTACCTGTTTCCTGAAGAAAGAAAAAAAACATTTTCTCGCTAAGAAACACACATGCCAAATGAACTGAAAGGACAAATTATTTCTGGTTTACATTCAGTACAATTTAAACAAACAAATGTTAAACTTATCATAAATCACAGTTGCATTTTCTTTGTGTGTGTGTATTTAAAAATGCACCAATTAGATAGAACATTGTCTTTTATTTTTATGGTCTGAATGAATTTCGGTCTACTTAAAATGATCAATTAATTGAAGCGTTTAAAACAAAACAAAATTGAAAGTTAAAACACATTTAAAACAGCAACAACAACAACGAGAAAAACAAAAATGTTGGTTTCCGCTTTTGATTAAATTAAATTTAGAAATAAAATAAATAATTGTAAAATCAGAACTCAATTATAAATACAGATTAAAATGTAGAATATAGTTTTTCTCTTCTTTTCTTTTCTTTTTCTTTTCCTTCTTTCTTTCCTTCTTTCTGTACATTAATCTTATTGAAATATACAATTAATTTAATGAGTTATCTATTTATTAAACATACGTGTACATTGTTTTAGATAAGACTATGGAATGTGAAATCTCATTAATAATCTTCATATATTTGAGGTGTTCAATGTGAAAAATAATTAATTATTATTTGGATATGAATTAGGACAAAAATAAACAAGTTTTGAACCAAATCTAAAATGATCTTGATCGACAATAACACATGTATTCGGAGATGGTGATGATGATGATGTTGATTGTGGTAATAAGGTATCTGTTGTATGATAAACATGTTTAAGAAAATTTTCATTTGCATCAACTGATTGTAAAACTGTATCTAATGTTGTAAATTCTTGTAATGAATTATCCGTAATTAATGTAGATATATTAGATATTTGTGAATTTGTTACCGAATCACAATATGCCATATTTGTACAAAATGCATAAGATTGTACAGTTTCTTTTGGTTTTTGTGATTTACTTACAATATAGTTTGATTTAGTTGGAGCTTCTATTGAGTTCAGTTCTGAAGCATCACTCAACGGCTGCATCTGTTATAAGAAAATGAAAAAAGTCACGAAATGTGAATATATATACTAACAATAGTGGGCGAATGTTAACAGTTTTATGAAAGGGTGTTGATGAGAAACATGGTGTGTTTTTAATCCTTACTTTTCGAACAGTTTGGTCACGTGTAAATATATCAAGGCATTTATAAATGAAAACTAACGAAGTTCAGTTAAATAGGGGTTCATTAAACATGACAACGGGAAATAAACTAAGGAAAAAATGAATGCAATATGAAAAAGATAACAGAACATTACAATACCCCGATTCTGAAAATTCACTGCTTCTCACGGCAGATTCAAGGTCAAGGGAAATATTCTTCTGTACATATAAAGTTTCTAAATTTTTCAAAACCAAAGTTTATATAATTCAACCTTGATAATTTCTGTGCGAATCTTGAAGTCCATATCCAGGTCAATCTTAAAGCCTGTTTCTATTGTATTTTGTTATTGAAGGGCATAGTTTTCTACTTCCAGAATTATCGAACCCCCTGATACTAATTGATTGACATATTTGGGAACATGTTATGTCACTGAAGATTGAACCTTTTGATTACTCTCAGCATATATGCACCCGCAGATATTCGAACTGGTAATGCATTGGTATGTGATTTATCCGTTCATCATATGTAGAGACCTATGTGGAATCATGGGCTTAGTTGTCTCACAGGCAATTAATTCAGAAACAAAGTATGTTTCCTTCATGAATGTTTTCAATTCTTGCTTTAAAATTATAGTGTTTGATTTTCTTTCATGAAATAGACTGATGCAGATCATTTTCTCGAAACAAATATAATAAGAGATCCTAATGTTGACCAACTTTTACACGGATCTTAAACTTTAACGAATATTCGAAGCAACAGTTTCATGTCAGGTGCTTTAGTATCTTTAATGCATATTTATTGAATTGTTTTGAAGAAGCACTTAACCATACATATTTTATATTGCAGCGGACAGGAACTGAAGAATTCCAGACAATGTTCAGTTAATGTGTTCCTTATAAACTGTTCGTTTTGTGGCCCAATACATCCTTCGACTCAAATTGTGTCTAAAAAAGAGCAGTCGGTTTACATTTCTAACACACAAGTTATTGGTTTGTCATTCAGTACGTTATTAAGCTTATTTGATGACCGAACAACAACAACATTTCATAACAATCATATTTACTCTAAATAAATGGTCGATCACCTGCAAATGTGAACCAAACTTGTCAGTATGTAATAAAAATAAGTTTTTCAGTTGCATTGGACGAATAGGAAAGAAATACGGAAACTACTGGACAACTAATCGAAATAAACATCAATAGTTCTGGCTAAACATAAATCACTTTTCCACCAGATGAGTTAATATTCTTTTCCTTAATATTAATATTATCACCAAGATTAGTTATTTCAAACGTATCCTTTCATGAAAACTTACAAAATGTGTCACTTATGAAATTTAAAAATCTTGATGACTATATTACGTAATACGTAGTACGTCGAACCATAATACGATTTTTGTAATAACACTCAAGTTAAGAAGTTTGCCTAGACTGTAATGTACTCTGATATTGAATTTTCTAATATCATCTAACGAAATGTCCGACATAAAGTACAGAAAATAGCATATAGGTAGAAGTTCATGAGTTCAGAGTAAAACTGATAACCATGAATGGTTATCAATTAATATTTTCAAGTGAGTAATTTCAAAAATGAGGATTACAAGATTTTGATTCAGTGATCTGGAAGTACAACGGGTAACATGACATTTTGATATTCAGGCTTTGACTCCTTGTTGTAGCATGACATAATACTACCGAAGAATCCCAAAATGAAACAAAATATGTGTCACGCTCTTTCTGACATCTAGTCAATCCTCACCAAACGCTTAATCATTAGATTATCTTCCGAATGCATAATTCCAACTTCACTCACTTTGCAAAACGCCTCAACAACCATCCAGTATTACTAGTGACAACTATTTCTCTCCTGACTCCTTTAAACTACAATAACCACTGTTGTTGGCTAGAAATCTATAAAGCATTCGCCACATCAGCTGAAAGCGGTAAGTTCAATAGCTGGCGAGACAGTAAATACAGACTGCTACCGTATTCCATACCAAGAAGAAAAAGTCTTAATTGTTCAATAATTTTTTTAACACCTTAACAGACATCAGTCTATGGTGAATACAACCTAATAATTAGACTGATTTCTACAGAATTATTTCAACTAAATTTAAATAAATTCCAAAAGTTGAACAAGAATTACAACATAAAGAAGTTAATGTGTACAGACAAGAAAGAGAAATAAAAGAACGCAACCATAAACATGAGGTGTATAATTTAAGTAAAATTGTTTATTTCTTTCTATTACCAAAATAATTAGTTGCTTGCCTATTTTAAGACAATCAACATAAAGTTTCACTGAAATTTTATTTGTAGTGAGGATCAATTAGGCAATAAATATTTTATGCACAGATGAATTACTTTTACGGGATGGATGTTTTATTGACTAAATATAAACTTGCGAGCGAGCGCTTAACCACTAGACCACTGAGCTTACCGGCATCCGACGGTATTAATGTCTAAATTAGTCGTCTAGCCTAAACTGACTAATGATATCAACCATTGAAATTACTATGATATTCACAAAAAACCCCTTCTGATACTAATCAACATATGCTCACTAGTGACTGGCAACAAAAGGTAGTTCCTAGAGTTCTAGTGAGAAGCAAAGACAAGTAGAGTTCAACCGGGTCTGTTATGAGATAGTAACTCACTGAAGACAATGGTGGATGTGTCGCTCAATTTCGTGGATTAGTTAAACATAGACATTATCACCGTTGGATGCTGGCCAAATCAGTGGTCTAGTCGTTAAGCGGTCGTGCGCGAGACTGATAGGTCCTGAGTTTGGATCTCGCGAGTTGGGATGGTGAATGCGCACCGCTGAGAAGTCCTACAATAGAAGGAAACGGCCATCCAATGCTTCCAGGTTTTCCATGGTGATCTAGCTTCAGTTGACTCATGAATTCAACTATTAAAATTACTATAATATCCACAAGAACCCCTTTTGATATCAAATGCAAACTGTTGAACATAATTAGTAACTACCCACGCTAGTAATTTTCATTAAATTAACTACGTTTTTTTCTAAACTAAAAAAATATCTACTTCAAGTAAACACATTCTTTAAAGGCATCGAACTAATTGTATTTCGTCTCATGTAAGGTCCACTCCACTGAAAGTTTAATTCGATTGAAATTGTATCGCATGTTTTATAAAGTTCCAGACATTAGTTAATAACCAGAAATGAATTAGGTCACATGTATAATTATATTGAATAATCACACTTATTACATAAAGATTGTGAGTAGAATGATCATCTTTTGCTTATTAAGTAGATAAACGATTTGATGAATGAATATGGTCTATAATTGGAATATAAAGTATTTTAGATATTTGATTTGTTTATAATTCAAAAAATATTACCAAGGACACAACTATATAAACATGTAGTGTGTATACATAAACCCACTAATAAAACACTAATAATATCTTCAATAGCAATAAACCACAAATTTGGAAAAAATATGTAGATGATACTCTTGTCATTATTAAAAAAGATTTTCCTGTGAACGTTTTCTAAATGGATCAATACGCTAAAATGGTGGTTGGAAGTAGTCAACAAGATACCTTGGACCTAGGTTTCGTGCTATTTGGTACTCGTCAGCAAGGTGTACCTATAATCTTAAGGAAACTGATGCTCCCTGACTGATTCGATCTCGTTTCACCCATCCTATATTAAATTTATTTAGGAGAATAAAAATGAACACATTTAGCTATCAATTTTAGGTTGCTTATTTAAAAGAAATATAACTAGTTCTTCAAATCTCTCTGTCTACCGAGAACCAATATACTCGAATCGTTATATCGACTTCGATTCAGTACGTCCAATCAGTACTAAAGTCTCCCTGACCCTAAATTATTATTATCATTGTTATTATTATTATTATTATTATTATTATTATTATATTTGATGGGGATAAACGAAAAGAACAGAAGTTTATAATTAACAGCTTACAATTTAATAATTTTTCCATGAATATTATTAGAGATTTGATAGAACAAGAGGATGTACTGTTAAGTAATAGTTTGATTGAAGTCCGTGGGTTGGTACTGTTGTTTTACCATGGTACATCAGAACACCAAATGGTCTTAAAAGAACACAGCATGAAAATAGACTACAAAACAACTAACACCTATTGCAATGCTTTAATTTAATCAATAATATCCTCTACACTTCAACACAGAACTGGGTCTACGAATTGGGATGCCTTCTATATTAGAAAGTCATCTGGTGAAATCTTGGCTCGGGTCAAAGAACATCTTAAGTACACACGAAAATCACATAATGACCTTGTAGAATATGAAAAAATCTACATCAGATCGGTAATCGAATATGTTTGAATACAAACTTACAGAATATCTTAGTAAAATCTGAAAATCATACAGCAAATAATTCATATGCAAAATGTCAGTCAAACGTCTCAGACTTCATTGTTCTTTCATGTCTACATCAATCATTCTTTGTTCTTGTTCCCTCTTCTTTGATCTTCTTAACCTTTTGCCTCCATGCATTTTACTTTCGACTGACGATATATACTACTTATATCTATCGACATCAGTAGCACAAAACACAACAGTGCATGCCATCTTCAATAATCATTAAATTTATACTAAAATTATCAAACAAATCCAAAAATGCCTTTCCGACTGCAAAGAAAGGCAAGTGCTGCCCTCAAGAGAAATGAAGGCTTTACCAAACATCCGACCTGGACTATCTATCCGAGCTAAAATGTCTGATTTTATTCACATCTCACATTATTACCATACATACAAATGTCACATTTCTCATCCTTTAACACACGTGGATACAAATATTTTTGTCTTGTTTCTTTGTATTATCTAAACTTGGGTTAATTTGTTTGTTTATTCTATAAAGAAGTGTCTTACACTAATTCACGAAACGTCAGAAAATTTAGTTTTTCTACTTACTGCGATATTACAAATGCATTCTTTCTACTAGAACCATTATATAGTAGTTTCGTGATTAGAAAGACCATAATATTTTATGGCATCTATTAATCATACAACTTCTAATGATTAACTTTCATTACTAATGTCCCTTGAAAGCTACTTCCCTAACAGACATCAACCGGTTCTGATTGCAAATCGAAATCATGTTGTATCACACCAAACACCAAAATGTAAACCACAAATTTATTCAGTCAAGGGTAAATGATTACAGCTTGTTCATACTATGTAAAATATCAAAATATTTGTCTGGTCTTTTATGGAAATAAGCTGAAGATATGTTCCAAGAGCTATGTGGTTTAGTTTTGATTGTTTCATTGTCTCCTGAACTCACTTTAGGACAAACTTCAAAAAATGGTTAATTTTAGGAATTTTTCTGCAAGTTGTGAAGAACTTTTTATGTCAACATTATATGATAGTTTGAAGTCAAAGTTTGAAATGTCACTATTTCTAAACTTATTTCGACTATTTATCTAACTAACCTGATTTTTGACTGTATAACGCTTGTGATTCTTCTAACTGGTTAGCTTATTTCAATATGCCTGTAAATTTCTTACTGACCTGTATGTCCAGAATATAAAAATCTTCTAGCTATATTTTTCACCTCTGTTCAGGATTTTAATGTTTGCTTCAATGAACTCATTTGCACGATTATCAACATACAGTGATATAATCGAATATACGCAGCTTAATAGTTATATGGTTTTCATTTACCTTGAGAGGGTGATTAATTACTCAATTGGGACAACATGATTTGGTCGAAATCATGCTTTTAAGCTACAAATCATTATTATTTACTAATTGCGAAATCATATGCTTCAATATAATATACTTAATTTCACCAACCGGTACCAGTGAGCTATGAATATTTCTAGGAAGCAATAAGTGTGAGCATGTGTTATTGATGTGTCAGATAATTTTGTCAGCTTATAAATTTAAATTTCGCATTTGGAATAGTGTTTACAGGAAACATTAGATCTTCTAAACTTCTCTAACAACATGACTTCAGAAAAAACAACAAACCTTGTACTCACATGGAGAAACAAACTTGAGGAAATAAAACATTTAAGTGTCAACTACCAAAGAAGTTAAAATATAAATCTTCATCATACAAAATTTATTGATACGCATAAGGATACGAAATCATGAAGGTAAGATCTAAGTAAGTAAGGAAATGATATATAAGTCAAATAAATAAGAAGTTGTAGATGAAAATTTGAATATATATATATATAATCTTCAACCACCTAGCGTTGGAATGTAATCCATGTGATCCAAGTTACCTATAGACTATATTGTAATTTGATCAATAGTATTCAATCAATAATGAGAGGTGAAAAACATTAAACTGATTGCAATCTAGTTATCAAACGGTGAGGTTCCATAGTTTATTCGATAAAAAAATATCATCTAAATATTTCACAATCAATCCAATTAAAAATGCTTTTTAAAAAAAAACAACTTTATATATGACCAAAATGCTTAAAGTTAATTCATCCTTAAATGTATCCTTAAATTATTACGTAATACATTGAAAAAGCTAAAAAAAATTCTCTAATTGGAATACATAGTGATATACGACGAATAGGTTTACAAAAAAAGGTTGCCTCATTTTATTCCATAAATCATTATGCCTCCTTAATGAACAAAAAGTATATATCTATGGTAACGCAACATTTCCATAAAAAAATTATGTTAAATTATTTTCATAAGGTATACAAATACTGTACAAACTACATGGAACTAAGTAAACATTTAAATGAACAAAAAAATTTATTCTCAGTCTACTTCTGTGTACTTTGGTAGAACGAAGTTGAATAATTCCTCTGGGAATATCTATGTACATATATATGGAATGATAGATAGAAGAGAACAAAAAAACATTATTAAGATTAATTAATTATTTTCAATATATTAATTACTAAGGTTTTCTACTAACTAATCAAAACGAAACAAAATTATTTTATGCAATTAACTTCTGTGTATGATTAAGTACATTACATTAGATAAACAATCCCTATTGCATTGAATATATATAAAGGTTTATTTTAATAGTTGGAATCATGAGTCAATTAAAACTAAACCGTTATGGAAAACCTGGAAGCAATGGACGGCCTTAATATTTTATCAATAGAGAATAGTTCAGAATAACTTTGAAATAAATTTTGCATATATATTGAATCATTTTCAATAAAATGCTACTAATCTTCAACTTGGTCCCAGTAAATTTTCTATCGTTTTAAAACATTTCGACTGTATTTCTCATGATGTTTTTCTTATATCCCGATGAGAATAATGAATGGTAACTCTTGAGAACTATTTATGGATAAATGCGATACATATATATTTATTGTATAATTACTAAGTAGCTAAACTATGTACATTCATTTCCCTCTTATTATGAGCTTTATTTTAACCTATGAACTATTATTACACAATTTACCATTCTTGAGTTATGCCCAGTCTATTAATTACAGACTTCCACATTTACAACCACTTTTGGCTAGATCCTGTATAAATGTTATTTTTCATTTAATGGTACGGTGTGGTCTGTTTGGTTTGTAAATATACCCAGTATGTTTGAAATAAATGATTCTTATCGCAAAGGCTAAAATTAGTGTTCTGAACTTAACAGGCAGGGCTAGACAGGAAGCAAGACAGATAAGGACTCTAGACCGATCGTATAGGTTTATGGGTCAATCGGTAGGTCGATAATTCACTGTTCTTTAATTGGCGGTATTATTACATTATACATTATTAGGACACAAACCCACAAGTTATAACAGTTTTACCTAAGTTAGTGTTTTCTAATACTAACACTTATGTTTTGAACTACAGAGAACTAAAGTAATTTGATAGTTGTATAACCTAGGATGAAAGTTTAACTTCATTCAGACGTCAATTACAATTGTCCAAATTCACCTTTATTTTTTTTAAAAAGGTAGTTAACTACTGGGAAGAAAAAGAACGAAATCTTTGTTCTTTCATCACAACATGAACAAATAATATGTCATTTGAAGAAAACGACATCATTCCGAACAGGTTAGTACAACATACTGATTATAAAATCTAATGCTATATCGGTCATTCGTAAATGTATTTTAGTAAACATGATTTTCGTATGGTTGTCTGGAACATTTGATATAAACGTTCTAGACTCCCAATAATCAGAACCAGTAACTTTTTAAACTAAAAGCATATATCTAGCACCCTATCTTATCATAATAGAGCACTATACTAGTTGTTAAAACCACACATTTTGGATAATAACTTGTTTTGACTGCAGATATTTGAATGACTTTATTGATCTAGAACCGGTTTCATTAATTTGAACAACCTAATATATTTTCGAAACAACAAGTTATAACAACACGTATGTAATGAAGGGTTTATAAGGAATGATGTAATGAAAATGATACCTCAAATAGAAGTAAGAATACCATTAGAGATGTTTAGCTCAAAGAATAATGAAAAACGTGATATAGTTTAAACACAACAATGTGACCCCAATATTTAAAATGATATTTACAATCAGTAGTTTTTTGGGATGTGAATTTACAGTACAGCTTGCTCTGAGCTCTTTAGAGTTCTCTTATTACGTAACCGTGTTATAAATATAAACATTTCTAGAACTTTAATAGACGGTTATTATCAATACAAGAGAAATGTAATGTATGCATAATATAAATGACAGATTTCGCCAAACAATCTGTTAGATACATTAGAAAAAAGTTTTATATTGAATAACGTAAATCTACTTCATCAATGCAAAACGTATATACACTTTTTTGAAACTTTGTAGAATTCAACTTTGTTTATAGGTATCAAAACAAGGGTTGTACTTGATAGTTTGAAATAAATTGCTCATTGGGTAAAAAGTTAATAATAAAATATCAAAATAATTTAGGAAATTTTTTTTGTCAGAACTATAAAGAGAGTTAAGTAGTCAGAGTGTTTCTTACAATTCCAAATCTCTCTACGCCTGACTATTTATCCAACCTGGACTGTTTTTCACAACAACAACAACATCCGACCCTACATATTTCTCACTCAATTTTAACCCTTCAACTTTAGATTAAGAATGTATACACTTACCATAATCACCTTTTTACGCACAGTGGTATGTCATACAAGATCCCCTTGATCAGAATAACATAACATTGACATTTTCACACCTATTATGATTTTGACTATACTAAAAATGTACCACATTTTACCTTCTAACTACTTAAACTTGTGTTAATTTTATTTCGGTTATTTATTTACTCTGACAATGTGACATATATTAAGTTATGAAACATCAGAAATACAATTTTCTACTCATTAAGATATCATATGAATATATTTATTATTGACTTACTTTGTTACTTATATCAGCTAATTCAACATTTACAGGATTATATAAATTAGGTCCAGATAGTACTGTTGATGACGATGTTGTAGACGACAGTAGTGTACTAAGATCATTTTGATTGAATAATGTATCATTATTTAAGATAATTTCTTGTGAATTTGGTAAAGCAGCCGAAATATATGAAGTTGTTGGTGAAAAAATTAATTGTTGCTCTTTTGAGTTTTGTTGTTGTTGAGCATTTGTGTGTATTAGTATTTTATCCAATGAATGGTTGGTTAATTCTCGTTCATCATCTCGAATAATTTCTGGTGTGGTAGTCCATACAACATAAGCAGTCTTTGAACATGATGAAGGAGAATCGGGAAATTTTTCTGAACAATTATATGTTAAATTATCTTTACCGTTACTTGATATCTGTATATTACTATTATTACTACCTTGAGTTATAAATCCATAATCTGAATTTGTAATACTCGTTTGAAGTATGTCAACATTAAAGTTCCTGGAATTTTTATAAATAGAATCTGTATATAATGTACCCTCAAATGATACCGATTTAAATGGACTGAATGAATGTTTAACTTCATCATTGCTAAAAATATTTATAGTATCTCTCATAACAGACGATGATTTATGATCAGCTGATTTAATAGAATTTATAGGTTCTGATTTATTCTACAATTAAAACCAAGTAGATAAAATAAATAATTATGTAATTATTTCTTCGTTAATATTGTTATTCAAACAAACAAAAGAACTAAATACAAATACAAAATGGGGACGCTTTTAATGAAAAACCAATTCAAGCATAGCCTACAGAATATAAATAAAAGAATTATTAAAATTGATCTGTATTCATAAAGATCAAAGAAATCTAAATAATCATTATAAATAAAACTTAATCATAATTAATAATGAAATCAAATTAGAAAATTTCTTTAGACAAAATAAAATTACTCAATTACTCAATAAAGTTGGAACACGACAAGAAGAAAAAAAGAAAAAAAAAGTAAAGATAATCGAACTTTCTATTATCCGGAATAAATTATTATTTAGATCATTTTATGAAGATATAAGGCATGTTTTATAAAAAGAAAAATATTAATGTCTAACAGGCATGAATAGTAAATGAATTTAAATTAATAAAATACACAATTAATTCAAATGAACATCAAACATTAATACATCAGATGAAGCGAAACAAACAAAAGGATAATATCAGAAAGGGTTTTGTGAATATTATAGTAATTTTAATAGTTGAATTCATGAGTCAACTGAAGCTAGATCACCATGGAAAACCTGGAAGCACTGGATGGCCGTTTCCTTCTATTGTAGGACTTCTCAGCGGTGCGCATTCACCATCCCAACTCGCGAGATTCAAACTCAGGACCTATCAGTCTCGCGCACGACCGCTTAACGACTAGACCACTGATTTGGCCAGCATCCAACGGTGATAATGTCTATGTTTAACTAATCCACGAAATTGAGCGACACATCCACCATTGTCTTCAGTGAGTTACTATCTCATAACAGACCCGGTTGAACTCTACTTGTCTTTGCTTCTCACTAGAACTCTAGGAACTACCTTTTGTTGCCAGTCACTAGTGAGCATATGTTGATTAGTATCAGAAGGGGTTTTTTGTGAATATCATAGTAATTTCAATGGTTGATATCATGAGTCAATTGAAGCTCAACCATTGAAAATAATAATAATATTACCAACATAGTACGAACTATTATGGGTTGATAACGAAATTATACCAAACCACAGTGGTACGACGGAAGAACTACAACGAATGGTTTGAATATATAGCATAAAAACATCTTATAAAACAACGTATACTCTGAGAAATTTTTTAGTTCAAATGAAAGATATTCTTTTTTGCATAGACACAGAATTGTGTTTAAAGATTAGGATGTGTAGAGTGTGATACCTTATATATTAAATAGTCTCCTTGTGAACCCATAACTCGTGCTAAAGAAAATCTAAACTATACAAAAAAGACCTCCAAATAATCCTACATATCTAGAATATCTGTAAGTCAAATCAGCATTAGTTATACATGTTAAACCCTACTGCGCTTAACTAAAAAGGATGTCTAAGGATGCATCCGATATGGACAATTTATTCAAATATCTACAGAATTAAACCCGTTCAAATTTTGCACCACTAACAAACATACGAATATTCCTAACCTAACTCTTGTACATTACAAATATCACATTGTTTACATCTCCTGACACACACACATAAACCAAATATGAATTGACATAACATGATCAGACCAATTTTAATTCTAATTGTACTAAAGATATTCTTCTTTGTGTCCTTTATACTATTTTAAATTGTGTTAATTTAGTTTGATATTTATTTGTTCTTATTCTCCAAAAAGCTGACTTATATTTGATTATGTAACGTTCGAAATTTAATCTCGCCAGGCGAGGTCATGGATGTGCACTGACGAGGAGTCCCAAAATAGGACGAAACGGCCATCCGGTGCCTCCGGGTATTCCATGGTGGGCTAGCTTCAATTGACTCATGATTTCAACCATTGAGATTACTACAATATCCACAAACTCCTTTCTGATATATCAGTGTTTGATAAATTTTATATTTTTGATTAAATCTGAAACATAAATGAATAGTAGGCTTCAGATGTATTACATTAGCTTGACCTGAGTTCGAAAGACTTATTCACAAACCATACAAAAAATTTGGTAAAATGTGGTGGGTAATTAGAAAAGCTTTGTTCTCCTGTTCTCCTGGTTTGATTAATTAACCGAGTACATATGAATTCCTAATCAGCCTTACTCATTCTTCATTTGGTCAAGGAATATGATTTTTGGGATTTCGATGATGAACTTGTTTGATTGTGTGCATGGCATGGTTTCCTTCAACACAGTGCTTGAATTGGATCTTCTGAATAGATAAAGGATAAATCACAAAACCTATCTTTGTTCTCGAGTGTGAAGATGAAACATTCTAAAAATAGGTTCGATAGATAATCAGTAAACATTTTCTTCATAGCTATTTTTACTCGTAGTGTTATTATTTCACTAGCAAGGTAATTTACGAGCCCTAGGTTTGGGAATGAGAAACCTAAACGAAGATATCATGGGACAACATGGACTGGAAGAAAGGAACGAGAATGGTGACAGATTTGCCAATCTATATGCATTCAACAATTTGGTTATACGCGGCACCATCTTCCCACAAAAACGCATACACAAAGCTATATGGATCTCACCGGACCGCATCACGGAGAACCAGATAGATCATATTTACATCATTGCGAAATTCATAAGGTCGATGGGAGACATGAGAACCAGGAGACGATCTGATATAGCTTCACATCACCACCTTGTTGTGGCCAAGATGAAATTGAATCTAAAGGAGTACTGGATAGCTGGTCAAACAGCATTACAAAGGTTCAATACAGCTTTCCTACGAGATACTAACAAGCTCAACGAATTCAAGATAATTCTCAACGACAGGTTCCAAGCCTTACAAGATCTACTGAAAGAAGAAACTACTATGGAAGACAACTGGAAAGGAATCAAACAGACACTAATCTCAACGTGTCAGGAGGTGCTGGGCCATAAGAAGCATTATCATAAGGAGTGGATCTCTATGGAAACCCTAGGCAAGATTTAAGAAAGAAAGATCAAGAAGACAGCAATTAGCAACAGTCAAGCAAGAGCAGAGAAAGCAAAGACGCAAGCTAAATACGCAGGGGCAAACAGGAAAGTGAAGAAGAGCATGAGAGCTGACAAGCGGAAATATGTGGAAGATCTAGCCACGACGGTGGAAAAAGCTGAAAGAGAATGAAATATCAGATAACTATACAGCACGACGAAGAAACTAGTAGTGAAATATAGTAAACCGAGGAGACCGATCAAGGACAAAAAAGGCGAGACAATCACCGAGATTCAAGAACAGTGGGACAGATGGGTAGAATAATTTGAGGAATTCTTAAATTTACCTGCTCGACTGAATGCATCAGACATCGAAGCAGCACCGATAGACCTTCTTATAGATATCACTTTATCAATAATGGAAGAAATCAGAATGGCCATCAGAAAAACCAAGAGTGGCAAAGCAACATACCTGATAATATACCATCTGAAGCTATGACGTCAGACATAGAAGTAACTGCAAGCATGCTTCACGTTCTATTCAGGAAGATTTGGGAGTAAGAACAAGTACCGGCGGACTGCAAAGAAGAACACCTCATCAAGACACCAAAGAAAGGAGATCTGAGAAAATGTGAGAACTAAAAAGGCATGATACTGCTGTCGGTACCAGGAAAGGTTTTCAATAGAGTGTTGCTGAACTGGATATAAGCATCAGTAGATTTCGAACTTCTAGATCAACAGGTTGGATTTCGTAAAGATCAGTCTTGTACAAACCATATTGCGACACTATGGATCATCGTTGAGTGGAACTCATCACTTTACATCAACTTCATTGACTATGAGAAAGCATTCGACAGTGTGGATAGAAGAACATTGTGGAAACGTTTCGACATTATAGACTACCTGAGAAAACTGTCGATATCATACAGAATTCATACGACAGAATGCAGTGCAAAGTGGTGCATGTAGGACAGCTGACAGATGCATTCCAAGAGAGGACTGGAGTCAGACATGGCTGCTTCCTCTCATCATTCCTTTTTCTTCTGATGGTCGACTGGATCATGAAGACTTAGATATCTGAGGGAAGCACGAATGGACATCTCAGAATCAATTAGATGATTTGTACTTCGTAGATGACCTAGCCGTTCTGTTGTACACACACGAACAAATGCAGATGAAGACAACTAATGTAACAGCAGCTTCTGCATCAGTAGGCCTCAACGTACACGAGAGTAATACCAAGATCCTCAATAATCGTATAACCGCTGAATGTTTTTATTAACAGTATATGCCACTACTGTTTTCTTACTCAATTATTGAGATGTTGATTTGAAAATATATTTATAATAAGGATTTTGATTTACAATGTGTTTGTTTAAATTGTTGCTAACTGACCATAATCAATATTAGACAAAAACAGATTGCGATAATTTATGAATTAACATACTTCTTTCGATAGACATTTACAGTCTTGTTTTCTTTTGTTTAAGAGTTTTTTCCTTCTAAAATATATTTCAAAAGAACAATATAAAGAAACACTATTATTTGACATCGACAGGACACATATAAACTTTTAATTATGTTTTGAAAAAAAAAACTATTCATCAATGATGGGATGACGGAAGCGACTTTTGGTTAGTACATTATTCATGTTACCGTACTCTTATAATTGTCAAGTGAAAAGAGATTGTAATCACTATAGTTACAGTGTAGTTCTTAATGTAACAAAATTAACAATAATTTGTACTCTGTGTTTGTTAATAAATATTCAAGTTGGAGAAACTGTACACTTTCAAATCAAACTTGTTATTCGAACGAATACTATTTAATAGATAAAACTGATATCATTTTACTTTATTTTTTTGAAAATTCATCACAACTTATGATGTTGTAAACTATATGTTTTGATTATAATTACGCTGTACTTTCAGCTACCGTACACTAGTAAATGTATCCAAGTAGAGTGCTTGCATTACGGTAAATATACAAACTGTATGTTCATTTTATGTCATTATGATCTAGTTAATACATAACTATTTATTTAACTTTTTGTCACTTTCATCACTCAAACTGGAGATAGTTTTTTTCTTTGTTGACGTCAATAATTAAAAAAATCAAAATACACATTCATTCCATTTGTTGATTATTTATAACCGATAAGATTTTAATCTGGATTAGTATTAGTCAGATAAATAATTTTATTACGTAATGACGTTGTTGTCTTTTTTTCCCTCTCTCTTTCTCTCCATTAATTGTTTATTTAATTTTATGTTTGTTCAAATACTTTCATTATCATCAATATAAATTGATGTATACAAGTTTTTAAACTATTTTCTTTATTGAAATAATAAATCTCTTAGGATGACAAAGAAAGATGTTTATGTATCTAAGCATTTTGAATTTTATAAAAAATCTATGGATTTTTGTTGTTGTTGTTGTTGATGTGCCTCCTGAATATTGATTACATTTCAAAAGGTTGTATCTGTGACATAGATACAAGTCAACTAATTTTAACTGATGATAGATAAATCTGTATATTTTAAATCTATTTTCTTCTCATTAACCAAGGCTTCTCATATTTGTAGGTGATTGTATGAGTAGTAAAATTTATTGAATACTTTCAAAGGAGTCATAGCAATTCTAATCAAATTTACCCTCTATGAAATTTTCCTATAGATAGATTCAAATTGAACAATGAGAGAAGTAAATTAAAGGGAATTCATTTATTTCATAGATTTCTGTCAGCTTCTAAGAACTTAGCAAACAATAATAATAGTGATTATCTATAGACAATGTACATGCTTTATATCATATTAATGAAGATTAGTAGAATAACTGCACTCTTCTTTGATAAAATAACTACTCTATCACAACATGTGGCGCTAAACATAAATGATGATACTCATATATAAATTATATTTACAACTCAAATGTACTAAGATGGTGTGACTTAAATTTCACCGATTCATATTTATTTTTGCACGAAATACTGATAAATAGCTATGAATCATTTGACTTCAACATTTTCAATAGAATGATTAGGAAATATATTTAATCTAATGATTAGTACATTCTTCAATAAGGAATATGACAGCTGTTTCATTTTCGTAGCCAAATGAATGGGTTCTCAATAATCTACTGTAGCATGTACTTCATTTAGAAGTAGAACCCCACTGAATATAATACAAAGACTTTAAACTCTATGACTTACTTTAGTAAGCGACAATAAAGGTTTTAGTAATGCTAATTTTATGAGTGTATTCACAAAGAATGTGATCTAAGTAAATCAATGTTTGTCTCGTACAATCCAAGGAAATATGGTATACAATATCATATTCTCATATAATTCTAGTGATCTTAGATCACAGATGCTTTAGTACTCAAAGTACTTGACCCCAAATGTCCCGATACGGCCGAGAGTGAGGAGAGTCGGCTCTCCTTCTCCAAATGCCCTCACATGGTCACGCGTATACAGCCACTGCCGCGGAAGTCCTACTCACCGCCTTCTTGCGGCATGTGTGTTGTTTTTGAAATTGATAGGACGAGAAGCGTATGTCCGGCGATTTAACCGGGTTGGTGGACACGGAGAGTTCACCTAGGGTAGTTGGAAAACCCTCATTTCAAATCAATGGTGCACATGAGCTCTAGTATCCTGAAGCAACAAATGGCGTATGAACCGATTATTGGTCACCAGTTACCATGGGACTGCATCTCCTGACTTTGCTCCACTGCCTTGTGCATCAGACCTTCAGATCGAAGGCTCGAGGTGTGATCGCCTAAGAAACCACCTGCTTCGGTTTAGGCACCCGGGCAGTATCCCAGTCCTCACACAAATCGAAGGATATATGTGACACATATGTATTTGGTGCCTCCCTGTACCAATATTTATGTGTTTAAATAAATAAATAAATAGTAAAAACCATATTATTTTCAGTCTTAATTTAAAGTATTCACCTGTTTATCAAATCATTTATTGACCTGCATAACTCATAATTTACAATTATTTAAAGAAAATTTATATTGACATTAGTCTAAATTGATCACTTACCTAAAGTATGCTGCACAGAATGTTAATAGCAATATGATCATTGAACATGTGATTGCAGTGCCAATGAATGTAGCTAAATGACTTTTGACATGTAGACAATCTACAAAAAGTAAAAAGAAAATAGAAAATATAATACATTATTAGGACAAGAATGGAAAGCAAGAATTGATGGGTAATACAGTCTTAACTCATCAAACGTCTTCTGAACAATGTAAAGAACTCAAGACAATACCTAGGGTAATGTTTCGGAAAAAAACTATCTATTAAAATTCAAACACTCAATGCAATTTTAATTAAGCTTAACAATGATACGAAACTTTAGAATCTGAATTAATGATTTATTCAGATTTAGTTAACAACAAAATATATTAACTAGTCAGTAATTTTTCAAATCACATAGCTATGTGCCGTTTGGTTGGTCCTTTACTATTTATAACATGAGTGCACGTATTATATCTTATTCGGAGTACGTTGGGATTTGATAGTTAATATATTCATAAACTAATATGTGTCTGAGATAAAAATTGTGTGCTTAAAATATAGTAATAAAAGTTCACATTCTGTGTTGCCTTATTTGGATACAAGACTGAGTAGATAGAGTAAACCTTCGTAATTGGTAGAATTGATGAGTGAGGATTATCTGGGATCAACTCAAGCAGAATCTTGCTTGCCTCATTATTATTGTTTACGTTACTCAGTCCATATTATGGAGTTCTGTTTAGCTGCTCCACTGTAAATACCGATCAACTTTCATTATAACCTTAAGTTATAAAATTAGGTATATGCACTTCTTAATCCATTAGTGTATAAGCTCATTTTTAGTTATTAAGATGAAAATTGACAAGGATAGTGAAAAACAAACAATAACTTTTATTTTTGATAGATAACATCTAGAAATTTACTAAAAACCAAAGATAATTTTTCCATCGAAACAATTGTCTTCAAAGTTCATTGACTGTATAGTGTTATTCGACTTCTTGGACAAATGTTAGTAATGAACATCAATGTGCAAAATAAATCTTCGATTAAATGTCATGAGCAAACATGTGTTTCACGTTTGCATTGACGGCATCAGTAGATCTCAAAATTTCAGCAAAAACCAATTGGAAAGGATCTTAAAGGTAATGACTGTAGTCCGGAACATTATTGGTAGACACAGGATTTTGTGAAGTTTGACTAATTTGAATTCAAGATTATTTATGTTGGTTAGTTAGAGGCCATCGGCAGCGATACATGGACCACGAAGAGCATTAAAACACCACATCACTGTTATATGAATTCTTTTACTTTCAAAATAATTCAACTCAATAAACTACAATTAACAGTTTTTTGGGCATTGTCAAGTCAACATAGGAAGGGTAACGTACTATATACTGAGGGTTTCGAAAGACATACGTTTTATTCCATCAGCCAAAATAAAAGAAACGAAAACACCATACAGGCTCACCAATGATCCCAGACAGCATAATCCTAGGCCACTATATTTTGAATATCAAGAATTCATTAATAATAGGAGGGTAATTTTATTATCTTCATAGTAATAAAGTACTGACATAAAATTCAAATGAACTTTGCTTTCCCTATTGATTGACATTATCGATTAGTATAAAATGCTAATACTTTCTTCATATATTTGAAGAAACCAAAGATGGACAGCTTATATGCCACGTCCAAAAAATTACCATAGAACGCCGTCAGCCATAGAATAGTTCGTAACCGGTGGCAATATTAACACAAGTATTATGATAATATAATTTATACATAATTTTTGAAGGCATTCAGCTTAGGTTACAATTATTTTGAACAATGTCTCAGTGTTTTGTGGAGTTTATTTCGTTATGATGATAGGTTTTGCCAAGCACTGATGGTAGTTAACTATTTGTTTAGAAATTAAAGACCACTAAACAAACGTTTCATTCTAAACTTGACCTTTAAATCAAACCACACCCAGCATATCATTAGGGAATAAAAAATGATCTTTATCTTCAACCTATAGAGCTAATTCAGTTATATGAATGTTTTTGGACATAACATGTGAAGAAACATAAACCAAACTGATTCCACTCTATAATAGCTAATAAACCATTTGTCAATCAAATCATATTATTAATAGAGTGGGATATTTTATAAGCATCAGAAATTATCCATTTGAATGAAATAGATTTACATGTTTATTAGTAATTAGTTTTTTAAATAACTAAACCAAAAAAATCCAAGCTGAGAGTTCGTTTATTTTTTTAATAATCATAATTGAGTCTTCACAAAGCAATGATTAGTAATTTAGAAAGAGGACTCATTTCTTACAACAGAAAAAATAGCAAAATTAAACCCAAATTTATTCACCAGTAGTAAATTGAAACTCAGGAAGAGTACACAAATCGAACTTTTCACGTTTTATTTCTGATAATAGTTGCATATTTTGCTTAGGTTGATTGTTATTATTATCATTTAAAATTGATACAGAATTAATTAGGTCAACTGACGAGGATGATTTTGAATCCGACTGCAGATAGTTTAAATTCTTTTTAATTGGTTGTGTATTCATGATTAATTTATTTGTGATTTTATCATTTGACACAAGTTGATCACAAAATTCACCGGTATGTGTCTCCGGACATCTTAATTATGTATGAAAAAACAAACAGAAAAATTAAATCAAAACAAGTAATGTGATTATGAGTCTAGTTATACTTTAGAGAAAATAGGAGACAAAATAACACTTCGTACTGAGATACTGAAATTTAGTAATAATATTTATTTTACAAAATAAGTAGCTGTTAAACAACTAATGAAAACCAAAAGATGCTGAAAAACGTTTTCACTCTTCTACAAATCTTCACAGTAGTGCACATAGATGACCTGATTGAAAATTGAAACAATGACATAAATAACAAAATTATTGCGGTCAAAAATGTGAACTCTGGATGCCGATTAAATGTTTGATCTCCGGTAGAGTTGCATATGCCCAACATTCAGTTGTTCAACACTATGATTGAGATGTAAAGCACCTCCCAGTTTCTAGTGGTCATCTAAAGAAATAAATTTATTATGCGAAACTTTATATACAGTAGTTCCCATAATGCCTAACAAAAAAATTAGTTTACGTTTCGATTTCCAACATAACGCTGGTTTTGTATTTAACAGTGCAATGTAAATATATCTTTGAATTCATAATTGGTAAAAAGTGGATCGGAGAGATAGTAAAAGATTATGCCAAATGATGTTTGGGAGTAAATGTTGAACCTAAAATTCAATAAATTTAATGAGTTTTATATTCACAATAATTGTTTGTTTTCAGTGATGTTTTATACTTGAACCGTCTTGAATATTACTTGTACTACATATCTACGCGTTTGTTGAATAACTACAAAACTCAATTCATAAATTAAGCGCTGATTATGTTGTCTAAATAAACAAAAAACCATTCAGACTAGAAAACCCGAGGACGCCGATAGCTTAGCACTATTTCGAAATTTCTCAACTCAGAAAATATAACCTCTTGTGTTACATTAAATGGAAAATCTGTAGTGTGAGTTACTTATATCCACATAAGTAGTATATAACGGTGGTCATGCATAGAATGTATTTCAGCAGAAGATCGATAAGCAAAAAACAGAAATGGAACGCAATCGGTATTAAAATGCATCAACAATGAAATCTGAGACAATGGATTGATATTTTGCAAATTAACTATTTACTATATGGTTCTTAGATTTTAGTGAGATTTTGTATCGAATACATCGGATCGTCCCATTCTGGTGTTCTTGTTCAATACAAATCCGTCAACTTAAAACCTCATTTGATGACAATCTTAAATATGTGAATAGTTCTATGTTAGACTATCTAATATTCAAATATTCTAATAAACACATTTATATTTAATAGTACTGATCTCAGTCAGGTAAAGCTTTCTCCAATAAAATAAAATGAACAATTACATGAATAAAAATTAAAGAATGTTCTAAAATGTAATCAATTCTCTATGATAAATATTTGAAAGAAATTTTTTAAAAAAAATTCAATTACATCTAATACAAATTAAATGATTGAATTTTAATTAAATTTTGTCATAATAATAAGTACTGAAATATTTTTTTTTAATTTTCTCATCTCATATCAAAGGGGGGTGGAAGTGTTTGTTTATTTTTTTTTATCATTGAATCAAATAAATAATTCAACTTCTATACAGAGACACATACACAAAAAAAAATCAAATTTAATATTTTCCATATTGAAAAAATATAAACTATATCACTTACCTACAAAGTGAATTATTATTTATAATGAAACATGTCCCCATATTGCAAATATTCACTGGACAAGCTGAATAAACTTTATGTGTCAAAAAGAATAAATAAAAAGAAAGATTCAGCAAAAAGAAAAAAATATTTTGTTTTTTTTTCTCTGAGAAATTTTGTAGAAAGAAAGTCAACCAATTCATAGACAACTAAGCTTTAATGGTTATTCAATGTATTATTGTTCATTTTACTTTCTTCGAAATTATCTCTTCATAAAGAAGGTTATTTATGGTGATTTTATACCTCTACATTCAAATCCTTTTTTTCAAAAAAAATTCCTAGACTAATGATAAATCGTTTATTAATGATTATTACTTAACGAATAATACACCTACCAAATGTTCAGGGTTATTTCACTCATTCATTTTTTTTTCTCTTCGATGTTTATAACTCTTTATTTCTATCTGAATTATTTTTAGTAACAGAAGGAGATTTTTGTGGATATTATAGTAATTTCAAGAGTTAAGATCATGAGTCAATTGAAGCTGGATCATCATGGAAAACTTGAGAGCACTAGATGCCATTTTGTCCTATTGTGAGACTCCACAGCATTGCGCATCCGCGATCCTGCCTCGCGCGAACGCATAGCCTCTATATTCACAAAAACCCCTTCTGATATTAATCAACATATGCTCACTAGTGACTGGCAACAAAAGGTATTTCCTGGAGTTCTAATGAGAAGCAATGACAAGTAGAGTTCAACCGGGTCTGTTATGAGATAGTAACTCACTAAAGACAATGGTGGATGTGTCGCTCAATTTTGTGGACTAGTTGAAGTTAGACATTAACACCGTTGGATACTGGCCAAATTAGTGGTTTAGAGGTTAAGTGTTCGCCTGAGAGACTGACAGGTCCTATGATCGAATTTAGCAAAGTGGGATGGTGGACGCGCACTGCTGTAGAGTCTCATACTAGGATGAGACCGCCGTTCAGTGCTCCCAGGTTTTCCATGATAATCTAGCTACAATTGACTCATGATCTCAATTACTTAATTATTTAATTCAAATAGATTTATGAAGAGTTTGGTTAGTTTCACAATTTGTTGTTATGAATAAATTAAGGAAATCAAAGCATCCTATAATAACAATTGAGTGAGACAAATATCATTCCGTTTGTTCTGACAACCAACAAAATGAGTCTACTGTGTACTAATCTGAATTATGACAAACAAATGTGTAACTTTATTTACTAGATATTTATCATAAGTGAACAAAACTTATTGTTTATTGTTTCATCACATGGTAGTAATCAATATTGTCATGGAGTCGAGTCTATAGAAAACCATAAACCTACTTTTGTTGACAGATTTGCTCGTCAATAGCGTTCATGGAACTCAGCAATGGGCATCCACGATCTCGCCTCGTAAGATTCGAATCCAGGACCTATCGGTCTGGCGCGCTAACGCTCAACCTCCAGACCACAGAGCCAGTATAATCTCATGACCTCAACTAATGGAATTACTATAATATCCACAAAACCCCTTCAAATATTTGTCTAAGTAATGTAACGTGTAAGAGAACATTATAAAGGAAAACTTGCCCGAAACAAAAACCCATTTGCTTATTTGATTCTGTTGACTTTCTCCTCGACAGGAGTAGTTACCAGTGTCATTAGTTATGACGTGTTCTATTCGTAACTCTGAATGCTTCCTGTTAACAAAGATAGAAACACCATTGTATTATGATGTGAATAATTGATGTCGACTAAAGATCGAATTTGATGGGGAATAAAAAATTATATACTCTTGTGTATCTTCTGTAGCTCGACGTCAAACCTATTACATTATGTACTGAAATATGCTCTTTGTGGTAGGTAGGATATCAATTCACAGGACTATTGCTCCTGGAAAGGTCTAGGTTAAAACCATAGTATGATTTCCTTGAGTTACATGTTTGAGCCTGTCAGTTATTTCACTAATCCTGAACGCTTCATTATCCCTCAGCATAAATTCAAAAGCCTAGCATGATGGCACTTTAGCCTATAAAATAAGGGGATTGATTACTACTCAGAGACCACTCGGTGAAAATATCTCAGTCCTACAGGAGTCCGGTGATTCATTGAATAGTTAAATGGTCATCCTTGTGATATGCAATCAGTTGCTTTGCTTATTTCAATTCACTGTTTTCCTTTTGATTAGTTCTGTAGCTTTAGAATGACTTTGACCTCCTTACAGTTTCACTTTCTAGATAATTCTGATCTTATGTTGTTTATCCTTAAGTAGTTTATATCATTCCAAAGATTATTGTTCTTAGTCATAGTAGTGTTAAACTTGTATTTCTTGTATTTCGATTAACTTATTTGCGATCAAAAATACAGACCATCAAACAACCTGCAGAGACATAATTTTCGAAGAAAAATGTTTAACAACTAGTAGATAAGTTAGATCAGGTGGTATTCATACATTCTATGTTCGACCCAAATAAATCCAATCCAAAAGATTTTTATGCTTCCCAAACTAACTGGGTAAGAATAAACATCACCGATTATTATCATATCACTCTAAATCGTAATTAATGTCTAAACAGATGTATACATATACTCATGTATGTAAATTTGTTGACTGTGAAAAATGATTCTAGTCTTTCTGCTTAGAGTTTATTAAATTGTTAGCCTCATTAAACCTCAATATCTTAAACAAAACATCATCATCACCATCATCACAACCTCAAAACAACAAAGACTACTCAACATTATATTCTGTTTAACAATCTTTAGTATTCAAATTAATATTTTATAAAAGTATAATTATGAATGAATGTTTTTCTTTCTTTCAGCGATATCATTTGTAAGCCATAAATTAAAATAACAAAATATAAGCTAGAAAAAACGAGTAAAAGCTAAATATATTATTTGAACAAGCGTTGACATCAGTGTTACATAAATAAACCACACATCTTACACTATATGACTTGATGTTTTCAAAAGTTTACTACAAAATGATAAATTTTAAACAACTGTTTTGCCAATAATTCATCATAGACAATCACATATATTCCATGTCTTGTTCAACCACTGATACAATTTGATTTGTAATAATAAAAATACTTAATATCATTTATACACAACTAATATTTTACATTACAGACTAAATTGAAAATGTCACAGTGAAATGACAAAATACAAGATAAGAAAAGTGTATACATTTTCATATTCACTGGTAAAGCGAATATAGATAAGATTATTAAGTCAATTAAGTACATTGAAATATGCAGAAATATAATTCATTTTAAAATGCAACCACTTTGCTAAACTAATCACTATTTATCTCTAAGTCATACGATATATAACAATTGATTCACTTTAAAGTGGGTAAAAGTAATTGATATTCAAGTCACTGTCTTTCATTTAAGACAGTTATATTTAAAGTTAGATTCAACATCGGGGCTTTTGTTATCCTCTTCTTACGCAGTAGTCAGTTTATTGTTGCATTATGTATACATATATTTAACCATTCATTTCGGCAGACTTTTTTTTAACTCATTCGATCAAAGATGGTTGGATTGTTATTGGTTAAGTACATACTGGTTGTGTATAAGGTATAAATATACACATTGTTATTCTGCTTAACGCTTCAACAAGAATGACGTAATACTGCAAACTTTATAATATTTTCTGGTTAAATTCTACTATAATAAATTGCCGTTTCAATATTACATTGAATGAAAAAACCCGATTACCGTAAATAGAGATTTGAATTTGTTTCTTTTACTGATCTAATCGCTATAGTATTTCACCACAATATTTAGTTGTAGATATTTATAAGTGAACAATTCAAGTAACACAATTCTGTAGAAAATCACCAAGCCCTAAATTGAGCACTCTTGCAGCTTCAAATAATCCATGATAAAATGTGACGATCATTTATTATTGTTGGTTACATCTATCTTACTCCTAACAAACCTGAACAACTCTGGTCACCATTTCTCATAAGCATAATATACATTATTCGTGAGAAGGCTAAATGGAAGTTGACTTTTCTGCTGTTGGGATTCATCTCAAATTAAAGTCAGTTGACCGTAAATTTATTTCTAAAGTTCACTGTACACCTTCCGAAAGGTCGGAAAACACGAACCATACAGATACTGAAGTACAGATAATAGACTTTGCTATATCGTTACGACATATTAACAAAACTTTACGGGACACAATGGACGATAACCCTCACTTCGTATTTCGGAAGCTATGTGTGCTTTGTTCACAAAATATGACATAAGACAGTGGTACTTAGCTCTTCATGATATAAACAAATCGATTTCCAGTAATAAATAATACACGGATAGAACGCATACTGAAATTGTTCTGTAGTGTATTTCTTATGAAACTAGTTTTTTGAATGTCATATATTTGCTGAAAGCATGAAGCGAATTTTTTCACATACGAAAAATGACACTAAACGTGCTTATCTTCACTTTGGCGGAAATTATGGGATAAAAATATTTGGATATTTAAAACTAAAATCCAAAATAGAATTGCAATAATTTTGATTACATCAAGTTGATCACTGAAGTGTCCAAAATGCACGACACGAATGTAAAAGAGACCTAAAGAGAATAAAGTCTTCGATAAGAACAAATAATCAAAATGAACTCATTTAACTCCCCCCCCGTAACAATTTGTACAAACTCAATTCTGTTTAAAGCAGATATTGACGATGTTGCTGAAAAAGCGACTGCAACGTTTGAAATGTAACAGTTCAGCTTAAAAATATCTAACAACGTATGTATTCATTTGGATTGTAAATCTGATTCGTCATTCATAAAACTAACATCATATCTAGACTAATTATTTAGTTCTACATCTACTCTCCCCATTCCTCTTTTTTCCGATGGTTGACTAGATTATAAAGACCTCCACGTCTAACGGGAAGCACGGAGTACAATTGACATCTCAGAACCAATTGGACGGTTTGGACTTTGCAGACGACCTAGCCCTCCTATCCCATACACACGAATGCAGAAGAAGACAACTAGTGTAGCGGCAGCCTCTGCATCAGTAGGCCTCAACATAGACAAAATTAAAAGCAAGATCTTCAAATACAACACGAACAACACCAACCCAATCACACTTGATCGCGAAACTTAAAGATATGGAAGCATCATCGATGAACAAGGAGGATCGGATGCGGACGTAAAGGCAAGGATTGGCAAAGTAATGACTGCATTCCTACAATTGAAGAACATATGGAACTCAAAACAACTTTCAACCAACATCAAAGTCAGAATCTTCAAAACGAACGTCAACACAGTCCTGCTGTACGGAGCTGAAAGTTGGAGAACTACTACAACCATCATCAAGAAGTTACACGTATTTATAAATAGTTTTCTACGCAAGATAATCAACATCGATTGGCCGGATACCATCAGTAAGAGCCTACTTAGAAGCGGACAAATCAGCTTCCATGTGAAGAGTAAATTAGGAAAATATGTTTGAAATGGATAGGACATACATTACAGAAATCACAAAACTGCATCACGAGACAAGCGTTAGTTTGGAATCTTGAAGGGAAACGGAAAAGAGGAAGGCCAAAAAACACATTACGTTGGGAAATCGAAGCAGATATGAAAAGGATGAATAACAACTGGAAGGAGCTGGAAAGGATTGCCCAGGACAGGGTTGGATGGAGAATGCTGGTGAACGGCCTATGGTCCTACACGAATAGTGACAGGCGTAAGTAGGTAAGTAAGTAAATTAATTAGTTTTCTTGAATTTTTTGGAAAATTGTTTTAACGCAATGTAAATTTAATGACATTTACTATCAAATGAAATAAAATTTCGATCACTTACGTTGAAGATGTTATTTTAATATTCGGATGAAATGACATATTTATAGATTTATTATCTTTAAACCATTTAATTTGTGGATTTGTTTCACCTTGCACTTTGCATTTTAGAATAAGACGACGACCTTCGTGAATCTCCATAGCACCATGAGTTGCTGTGTGAATTTACAAAAGTTAATGGTTGAATCAATCACGTTTATATGATATTTTCTGAAAAAGAAATATGATTTCTCTGTGGTAAGAACAGTGAATAGAATGTAGTGAATATTTGTGAAAATATGTTACTTTGTAATGAAGTGACAAATTATTAACCTAGTTTACGTGATATTAGTTATGGCACCAGGATGAATGAATTCTATCGATCATGTCTCACTATCGTTGTTAATCCAATTTATGTGATATCCCATGAAGTATTTTAAGATGTTAGTTGATTGGAGATATTCTCTACACGAAACCCGGATTCTAAGTTTCTTGATAGAACTGATGCTCCGTGTGAAGTTCAAATTTGCATCACCCTACCTCACAGTCTTATACGTTATATATGAGCTATCTGGGTCTCAAGTCACTTGCAACCATCTAAAAAGTCAATAGAATTTAGGCAAATATAACGTTATTGCAATTATTTGCTACTAATAAATAACCATCATCAAGAGATCATAGTAATGTTTTTCATATTTAAATAACTGCAAAGAATTCGTTATTTTTACGATGCTTTGAGATTATCATATCATTTTTCACACAATTCGCAAAAGTATAGTTCAGGTATGTCCCAGTTACTAATAGTTTCAATACAGTTCACCCGTTCATAAAATTCACATGGGAGAAGGAAAATTGGGGTAGAATAGTATTTCCAGATGTTCTACTTACAAGGAGGAAGGATGGGTCGCTAAGAAGAAAAATAAACAGGAAAATTACCTGAACGGGCCATTATACGAGCTTTCCCAGTTTTGTTCCTCTACAATACAAAATTAACCTTATTAAGACACTGCATCATATAATAAAGACTATATGTTGTCTGAATACGACTGAAGATGAAACAAAGGCAATATACACAACCCTGAAGGAAAATGGTTATCCCGAGAAATTTATAAATAAAAACAGCCAATAAAAGACAGCATAAAGAATGCCTAACTGTAAATAAAAAGCCTCTGTATATACGCTTACAATATACGCTTACGCGATGCATCGAGTGGAATGCTAAGACTTAAGTTGAGCAGATCAATTCAAAGGACTTTTAATGCAGATAAGCCACAAATAATGCTCTCCACACGACCAATAATCACTCCGAAGTTGAAAGATAAATTGCCTGAACTAGCCACCTCTTTCTGTATCTATCAATAGGACTGCTCCTCTGGAGCAAGTTATATTGATAAATGTTCTAGGAATTTGTACATTCGGGCTCGTGAGCACCTCCCCATGTGGTTAAGTAAATGTGTAGTCAAAACGGTTAACAGCTCAATTTCAGACCATCTAGTTCAGACAGGACATACAGTCAACATGGAGCAATCTTTTGCAATAATCTGTCGTGCTAACAGCAGTCCACCTAATTCCGTCAGACTGCGAATCCTACAGACGGCTGAAGCAATTGCTATTCGGATCAAAAAGTCAGAGCTTTGCATCCAAAATAAATATGTTCAGCCACTCCTTTTACCCTGGCCAACTAGTTAATAATCAATCTTATAATATGGTGACGTAATTTGATTAATGTTCATTTCATGTCCCAAACTTATTATTATTATTTTTACCGTTGTTATTATGATCTTTATCATTACATTTGATAAACTTTTTGAGGAATGTATTCAGTATCTACCTCTAAATCTACTATATCTGACCTAATTCATATTATTCTCTGTCACCCCATATTGACCATATTTATTCTGATCGTTATTTATCTCACAATTTCATTTCACTTATGAACTGATTCAAGTTAACACTTTATATTAAACAGCCGTAACATTAACGATTTGATTTGATGTAACAAACAACAATTCTTGATTTACATGTTACAATTTCC